ATGGGGGAGGAAACGCAGTTATTTTCGTTTTCATCCTGGGGGCACAAGCTGGGAGCTGTCCAGTCGATAACCTGGCCATCAGAACAAGGTTTGTAATTAAAAGGTCAGTGACCTGGAAAGCCAGGGCCCCACTCCCAGAGCTTCTCAGTAATGACGGAGCTATTAAATTAAGACTGTTATGAAATCAATGCTAAAAAAGCTTTCATGGTAACGAGATTCCATTCAAGGACATGCAAACTACCTCATGAAATGGACGTAAATGATAAAAAAGAAAAGTAATAAAAGAGAGTTAAATTGAAACCTGTGTAAGAATTTACTTCCCCTTAAAATACCCCAATGAGAGAAGCCCTTCACCTCTACCCCACTCCCAAGGTTGAGACCATCAGGTTTCTCCCTCAAGTTCACTTCCAGCAAGGAGGCAGTTTTGCGACGGGGGTTCCACTTCCAGCGTAAGAGGAGATGTTTCGCCATTTAGAATGAGGAAGTGTAGCTGTGTGCTGTTTGGTTTTCCTCCCCACCCCCAGACCACTTCTTAGATGAGGAGGAATACTGCCTTGGACTTACACACTCGAGAGGGCGCAGTAAGTACAAGCATCAGTCAACACCACCGGCCCCACTATGCAGGATTCTACAGAAAATCATGGAGCAAGCTAACAGAAAGCCCCATGCGCCTCCCACCCCATCTACCCTTCAACTCCCTTCCCCCTCGAGCAGGCATTACTTTTCCCCACCTTACGCTCAGCCTGCCAAACATGTTTGGAAGCAGATTGCCTCCTACATTTTGTGGTTGGATAAAGTGTCAGACCAACATAAGCCTATTGACAACAATGACCAAGCCTCTAACTTTCTGCACTGATGCGACTGCTGTTTGTAAGCTGGACTGCAGCCTGATTCAAGCCCGAATCTGATGCCTGTCTGGTCAGAAGTGCTGCGTTACATAGGCCAGCTCTGGGCAGGCTTAAACCCCACGCACGGTCCACTTCCCTTCACATGGGGCTGACTCTGCAGTTGATGTGTCATCTGCAGAATCGAGTGGTTGGGGGGGAAAATCATTTATTCTAATACTCTGAAGGTGAACAGCTGCTTTTCTCTTTCATCCAAAAAAATCCCGATAAAAGAAATGTTGTAAATTACACAAAATGGCAGTACAAACTTCAAAGAAAATGATAAATGATTCTAATAACTTCATGTTTCTCATTAATGACTCCATATTCAGACTTTAAAGCATCCGAAAAAGATCTCCGAAAAACAAAAATAAAAAAACACAAACACAAAAGACCTTTGCAAACCATAGTCTTCCATCCTGATGCCACTCTCCACTAGCCCCCACCACCTCTCCAGCCCCCAAAATCAGAGCGCACACATCTAAACTGTCAGTAACAGAGGCAGGAAGCAGCCCCTGCTCCGGGCTGCGGTTTCACAATAAAACAAACTCAGCTGATGTGCTAAAGTTACCCTCATTTTCCACTGAACTGACATGCACTACAGGGACCTCAATTTCTATATTAAATATTAAATAATATTAAAAGAAAAACAAAATTGGATTTGCCTTTTCAGGAAAGAGATGTTTATTAAAAAAAAGAAAGTCAAGATTATAATTCAAGGCAGTGCTCCACTGCAATTCCCCGAAGTGACATTTGCTAGGAAAAGCCAAGACTACAGAGCTGCGAGCTCGCCCAACACCAGCACTCCCCACCCACCACTGCAATGAGTCCTTCGGGGAGACACCAATGGTGAGAGTACCAGAACCTTGCACCCCC